AGTCTTGCAGTAGAACATTTGACTAGCGCCGCCACTGTGGGCTAAGCCCCGAATGTTTCCAGGTCCAGGCGACGCCCCTGACGTCAACATAGGCCGACCTGGGAGTGAGGATGTGTTGGTTTTTCAGGCCTCAGGCTCGAAAATGACATTCCCAGAACAAATGACTATATCTTCCCTTCTAAAAGGGGTAAATTAATCATCTTTTTTTTCTCAAAGCAATGATACACCTGTGAGTTGGCTGTAGGAGTGTCAGAATCAATATAGATGTTTTTATTAGTAAAGTAGTAAAGTCAATTCAGATTGAACATAGTAAAAATTATAGTTTCGGTCTAAAAAAAACCCCATTACTTATAGTGAAAACCACCCTTGAATGATGGGATAGTAGCCAAAAAACCTTTAGGAATCCAAACTATAACATATAATAAGTACCCTGTATCAAGATTGATGCACAAACAAGTGAAATGTGACCTTTTTAGAGAGGTTTAGAAAAAGTAAGTCCAGGCGGACTCACCTCTGGGTACATTTGGGTGTATTTGCCGTATCTCTGGAACCCATTGGTCGATTTGGGGGATTGACACCTCTTTGTACAGATGTAGCACCTCATTTCAGACTCCAGTTTACAGCTTCCTGCCTACGACCTGCCTAAGACCAGTATCGAGGAATGTTAAGCCTTCCCACTATTTTCCAAGAGGGCGTTGCCAGATTTTTAATTTAATATGATACATTTAATTAATATGTTTGCGCTGTGGACCAACACTATACATTGACGGGGAAGGGGGTAGCAATAAAGATAACACCATTAAACAGTTACACAACATAACAGAAATAATATCGATAGCAGCGTCCCTAGCAACCACCTTGGTAACAATGAAAACGTCGCGATTTCCTGAAGTAATCTTCGTAATAACTTGCAAACTAAAGATCATGTACATCCACTGCACACATAATCTGAAATAACAACTCATATTTCTCGCATCAAATGACATCAAAACACATTTTAATGGCCAAACTAACTTTAAAATAGGCATTTTCCACCGAGAATAAAACGAAGTTCGGCCATGTTTTCTTTTTCTGCAGGGAGAAATTTGAAGATCACCTGACATAGACGCCAGCCATTGGAATGAATGGTGAAAAAAACGGGGTTTGTCAAACAGAGCACATGGTGTAGTCCAAACGATAGCTGGGGATTCTGGGTAGTGTAGTGTCTTCTGCCCGTTCAAATCCAGTTTTGGACAGTCTGCCGTGGTTCCATCCCATTTCAAGTGCTGTTCGAGAATCAGCGTAACCCTCGGAGCACACTCTCCAATCACAGAGCTTGAGGACTATCACGGGGTTTGTCAAACAGAGCACATGGTGTAGTCCAAACGATAGCTGGGGATTCTGGGTAGTGTAGTGTCTTCTGCCATCCTTTACTCAGAAAAATATTTGGTTTCTCCGAATCGAAGGGGAAAAATACAAAAGCATTGCACACAATTTAAACCAATCAATGTTGTGTAATTAACAATGATAATCTGGTGTTTTTTAGTCGATGAGTAGTGCAGATATCACTGTAAAATCAATCGACAGTAAGAGGAATACTTACTTCCGGGTGTACAATTCTCCGTTATCCAATGAGAATGGACGCTCACATTGCCTTTAAGGGCAGCCGACACAAACGAATGCCGTGCTTCCATGAGCGTCAAATCCCGCCGCAGATGGGAATACATTGCAATCAGTTGAAAGCTATTTGCGTCCCTTTATGACGCTGAAGGAGCCTAGGAGCGTCACAACTGGACGCCACGGACACTGACCAAACGTCGCTCCTGGACGCTTAGGGAGTGAGAGTGTGTTGGCTGGAGAAGAAAGATCAGGGGGGAGGGGGGAGAGAGCTGTGGTTTATGGGCCATTAGTTGTCTGAGAGCTGCCGTTTCATTCAGACTGTTTAAAAAACGGTAACGGACTATTTTTCTTAGCGGATGCATGTCAATTTAAATCAATACATACAACAACTATTTTTCAAATCAATAAAACATTTTCTAAATCCATAAAAGCATTTCAATTAATATTGGGAGTCATGTCGTTACTTTGTTGAGAATGTGGCCATGTAATAAGCGGGATAATTTGCAGCGACTTGTTCCTTATGGGGAAAATAACACCCTTCAGCTGATCAAGATCCCTCCGCTACACGTTGGGATCCTGATCTGCCGACGAGGCTCCATTCAAATATAAATATTGTTAGTGAATTACTGAGTTTAGGCACGTTAATAACATTTTAATGAACAGTACATTACAGTATATTCATATTTGTAAGTGATTTCATGTCAATTCGGCGAATATAAACATAAATGATCGTGGTGAAGATGATGATTAAATTAGGATTACAAATCGAGAGCCGAGCTGCATTTCCTCCTGTTCGTTTTTTCCGACTAAACAACATTATTTTGTTAAATAACAACATGGTGATGTTTTGTAAATGATTACATGTCTCTTATTTAGCACAGAGTATGATATCCGTGACATATGGATCTTAACAAAGTTCCGCTGTAGGCCTACATCCAGATACAGTACGTATCTGACTTTATTTCACATGAGCTCCAGTGTGGAACCCTATGGTGGAACCCCACTGCACCCCCTGGTGGATCAATGATCCATTGCAGCTGGCTTCATAATAATTACATTTATTTATCACGGGGGAGGTCTCAAGTCAAGCTGGAGGTTTTCTCTTGAGCGAGGGCAGATCACGTACCAATCACGGCCCTCGCTTTTCAAACTGTCTGAAATGAAGCGCTACATCTGTAACCGTTAGAGCAGGGTGTCAAACTCAAGGCCCGGGGGCCAAATCCGGCCCACCACTTCATTTGATGTGGCCCACAAGAGCTTGCAAATAATATAATACGTTTATTATAAGGTCACGAGCCGCTTTACAGGAGCACGTTGCCCATAAACTACATGTCCCACAATGCATCTCATTTTGTGAGATGCTCACTGCAATTACTCGACTTCTGCTTTCAGGCGTAGTTAATTATTAAGTTATTACCCTATCCGATAATAATCCAATGCAGAGGAAATATTGTAAAATAATACATTATTTTATATATATATATTATTTATATTTATCTATGTATATTTATATAGTCTTAAAGTTACCACCGGCCCTTTGAGTGCAACCATAATTCTAATGTGGCCCGCGATGAAATTGAGTTTGACACCCCTGCGTTAGAGCCAATAGAATCGAGGGGAAGTTCCTAAATCCATTTAAACATTACCATTGATGAGTTAGAATGATGCGCACGCAGCTTGCCCAAAACCGGAAGCTCGGTTACACTCTATATGACAAATATGTTTATTGCTATACATGTTATGATGGATTATCATAAATCTTTTCAAAGTGACACAGAGACATTGGATTAACCTTCAGCAGCGTTCATATGCGTTTTAATGCCCTTGAACACAACTTTTGATCAGAAAACATCAAAGGTAAGACGTATTTGCCATTTTGGCCCCGTAAAGTGAAGTTGTGTGTTGTCTTTCCTGGATTTCGCTGCCGTGAGTTTGGTCGCACAGTGATGATACTTATACCAATGGAATCTATGGGATATCAGCTTTCATATGATATCTAGTATGTGCAGATAGTTAGTGCTAATTTAAGCTTGGTGTTACCCTTGTGTTTTGTTTAGCTGAAAATTCATATTGTCTGATAGCTGAGTTTCTTCCCGTTAAGTGGGTATGACACATTAATAGGTTGTTAAAGGTCCCATGCCATGCTTTTCCGGTTATTACCCGTCCCCTTGTGTGTTATGAAGGTTTTTATGCATGTAAACTGTCTGCAGAGCCACAACCCCTCAAAGT